TTCTGTTCTTGCTCTGATCGAAGAGCAAAGCGCTTTCTCTTTTTACGTAACAATAGTGCTGAATTTCCCCCGACTCAATTAACATCAGGTTTATCCGCGGCACATTCGCTTCTTTTTTGCTTATCTGGAGCACAATTACACAATTGTTTTCCCAGCCAAATACGTTTATTGCGAGGTTTGCGTTTTGTGCCTCGAGCTTTTCTATCTGTTTTACTGGTGTTGGGAAATCGATGCCTCCGTAGTTAATACCGTCGTTAACCGTATATTTGCTTGGTCTTTGCGGGTCTTTCCCGTGTTTTGGAGGGAATAAAGCGGCTCTGAGTGCCCACTTCAAACATTTGTTATCCCTGTTTTCCACGTTTATTATTGCCTTCTTTTTTGCCAGTTTGGCTGGAAGAGGCAAATAGGTTCCTCCGCGAAGTGAATTATAGCGCGCGACATTCACGTACGCAATCTCTATCATTTCAACTTCCCATCCTGATCCCTTCTCAGACCAGTTTTCTGTTTCTCTTTTTGCGATTTCAATGAATTCATCAAATTTTTGTTTTATCTGGTCCTCATCATTCCTTTTGAAAACGTGCGGTTTGTCGTCTTTAAAATAATGCTCCATGCATTGCGTTTCACCGTTTCTTTCTATTGAAAACTTTACTTGTAACCCAAAACTTACTTTTACGCTTTTTAACTTTTGGATTTCTTGTTCAACCAAATCAGTGATCTTTTCTTTATTTTCTCTTGCAAACATTAAAAGATCTTTATTGTTTGGATTTCTTTCGGACACATCCATTCTCCACACACGAAGCCATTCTTGGAAATTATTTTGGGATATTTGAAATCCGTCATATAATACGGTAAAATCTGGTTTTAACGGTTCGGGTAGGTTTATGTTTTCCCCCTTCGGTATTGGGCCGTAAAACATTTGCAGAACATCGGACGAATATCTTGCGGCTGCCATCTCGCCGTATATACATGTGCATATACTTCTTCAATAGGAAAAAATTCTGGCGCATTTTTGTATATAATCAGTGCAGGCATTTCTTCAAGAAAAAGTATTTGTGCGCCACATCTGCTTATATTGATTACAGACATTACAGCTTCGCTGGACCGCTCGCGCGATTTCATTTTATGATGTTGCGACACACACATGTAAGATGAGGGTTCTGGTCGCAGTTGTTCTTGCTGTTTTTTCCCCGAATCCCGAGTGGTTGGGGTGGCGGGATTCGGGGAAAACCCGCAAGAACCACTGCGCCAGAACCCTCATCTTACATGTGTGTAGTTATGTTTTTACTCCGTCTGAGTGCAAGCACTTTGTCGCTTATTCAAAAACCTATCGCCATCAGTCAACGCTTTAGCTGCGTTTGATTTGTTTCCCTTGTCTTGCTTTTTTTAAGTCGTTTGCTTTGAGCTTCCAGACATTTCCTTGCATGGTAAAACTCTTTGTCGTCGATAATGATTACGACATATTTGCCTTCTTTAAAACTTTTCTTGCCTCTTCCTTCTGTTTGAGGAATTCGTTAAGCAAGCTAACCTTAACGTCTCGTCGGGTTTTTGCTCGAGTCTTTCCTGGATGTACTTTTTAATTGGGTTATCTAAAGCGATAAACCTGTTCGAACTTTCCGCCATTGTCTGTGGTTTATAGCTAATTTGCGAGAAAACTGGAGTAAGCTTGTGGAAACGCTACAAACTTCTGTGAATGAAGATTGAAGAGGCGCCAACAACAGCGCGAAAGCGTTGCGAACTGACTGATTCATTTTGACAGCTGATATCTGATTGGATGAAACCCTTTTTCCACGTGTGAGAAAGTCGTTTCACGATTATGACTGGATGAAGAAATTTCCGTATGAGTTTTTCATGCGATCGATTCTATCCGAAAATCTCAGTAAGTATGAAATAAAACACTTTAATCGAAATGTTTTCCTTGTAAAGTTGAATGTTCTGCCCCTACCTATGCTTATTCACCACCGATGTCATTGTGTGGTTATTCACCGTCAACACTGTTTCTCCCTCATCGATATAGACGACTCTTTGCTGACGTTATTTTGAGTTAGAGTTCTTGCTACCCAGGTACTGGGATCAGGCAGGACAGTTGAGAGAGAAGTGACAACCACTCTTAATTTGCATCACGATAAGCTGCTACGGAATCAGACCGAAGTAATCTCGTTAAGCGTGACGCGAGAAAAATGAAGTGAACCGGAACAGACCTTCAGCAGATTAATGGGGAGGGACATTCGTATTCTTGTGTTGTCACAGTGGAACAGAATTCATCCTCGCTGGTTTATAGCGTCTACATTCGCTCGCCCTTTATTTCTCCCACTCAGCCCCGCCTTCATTCCTTCTTTCCTTCCCCCAGATTCGAGCAAGTAATTTTGTAACTCTTTTGCGTAGCAAGAAAAAAGCACCTACACGCTGCAATAACTTGTTTTATTCTCATGAGGATCTTAACACGTTTTCTTACTCGAATGGCTCAAAAGAACTCAGGTCGTGTTCACCGGGAGAATTAGAGGATTGCTTTTCTGATTATTTTTATTAGTTTGTTAATAGAGGGCGAAGGGGGCGGGAACTCGAGATTACTCGTGTTACAAATTTCACTCGTTTGACCATCGTTTGGATTTTACACGAAAATAAGGTAACAATTATGTAGGTCTATAGGGACTCGTGCAGAGCGGGAGAGGAAGAGGTTAGGGACTGAGGTATGTCTTTCATCAGCGGATATTGACCCGTGAAGATTCAACGCCGTCTAAATCTCTATCGAGATAGTCCATCAGCCTAAGATGCTTACAAGATTCCTAATCTTACGTCAGTCTGCCTCATCTGAAATCCCCCTCCTCATCATTCGTGCTTCAGTTGGCAAAAACAAATCCGACTATCAACGGGTTACACCTTTTCATCCTACTACATAAAGATTTATCCAAGCCTAAAAGCGGAGCTCCTGGGCCGCTTTGCTTAAAACCCGATTAAAGTGCCCATAACGTTAATTTTTTTGCTTTCTCATCTGATTCTTCATAACACCCAATTAACTTTCTCGAAATATAGTTTTCGATTTGCATAAAACGCAATTTGTTTATAATTTTTTAAAGACGTTCAAATGTTCCGCCATTTTGGTCCTCCATTCGCACCAGTCTTCCTCGGTTTGAAGTGATTCGTGACGTAGGTTCAGGGACACGTGATTTGGGTCGTGACTTCTCTGACTTGAAAACAAGTGGGAATTTCGCTTCAGAGTTGTCTACATTTAGTTGAAAATGCCGCAAAGGCGCGTTGCCGCTCTCTGTAACAACGTTAATAATCCAGAAAACAACATCAGTCTTCATCGTAGGTTCCTGAACCTACGTCACAGGCATCAGTCACGTGGCCATTTTGAGCAAGTTATTCTTGTGATCAGCGGCAGGGATCGACCGCAAGAAAATAGAATTTTGAAATTCGTAAAAAAGTCGCGTTTTATCCAGATCGAAAATTTTTTCCGCAGAAGTTCATTAGGTGAAATGTAGTAGATGAGCGAAAGAAAATTTTGACATCATGGGCACTTTAAGCTAACCCAAGATAAGCGATAATTTTGATTTGAATTTTGTAACTTAGCGGTAAGGTCTTCTGTTTATATTTTTGGCTTCTGTTTTGATTCCGAATAATATCAAACCCTGGCCCTAAAGCAGAGAAAAACACTTGTAATGACGATTAATTTATACTTTTGTTAACTTTTAATCCTGGGTTAGCGTTAACCCAATTTCCGAATATCCCGGCCCTAATTACAACAAATTAAACTGAATCTAAATTGTTAAGCCCGCGATCCAATCGAAAACAAGTACTTGGCCAGCGGTCAACTTACAAAAAAAAACACATGACCTCGATGAGCTATAATCCTGAGAAACCAGAAACTGCAAGGGACCGCATACGATAAACACTGCCAACGTAGGATCTACATGAGATCTGATCAGCCAAAAAATGTATGAAGACAAACAATAGACTGTAAAGCTGATGTTATGTCAAAAACGTTTCGAGACACCAACATGACAAGAACCGATAAAGTAGGATCGTAACAGTGGAAAGCTGTTTCGCCCTTCTTGGGGCTCGTCAGCACTGTGTAGCGAAAATATGTAGCGCCAGTCCAACAGCCAACGCACATAAATTGCAAAATAACCCGTTCACTATATCAAGTTCCGTACTTTGAACTCACTTGCGCCCCGAAACAATAATCCTAAGCCTGCTATATGGCCACGTCATACTGATCAGCGGATACCCTGTGTTGAAAGGTGTCAATTAACCATAACATGGGTGTCAAATATCAAAGACGTACGCTGTAAACTAAGACTTGGTATTAGCTGGAGTATGGCCGCCATGTTGCGCGACGTCGTCGCCGTCGTTAGGCACGCGCGCCAGTGATCCATGCCCCTAGCAGTGATGACCATGAAAACAGGGTTGCATGGGTTTCTATTTTTATGTATGTACGTAGTTCTGTTCCTATAATTATGGTGCTCCGCATGGCGGCCCTTCGGGCCGCCGGAGCTCCGCTAATATAGCCGCCATCTTAAAACGAAGTTCAACATCTCAGGTCTAAGAACGTTCTCCTAGTACCTTGCTAGGTTTTGTCTTAACATCAGGAGAATCTACTCTCGCCTGGAACGTTACCTCTCGATATTAGAATCCCATCTCTTTTACGGGTTGAAAAGAGGATGATGTCAAACAACAGCCATGTAAGTCTAATATGGCCGCCATCTTAAGTGGACCTTTACTTGGAACCATTGCTTTACTTTTACTGAATTTACGACGATGAGCCGCGTTCCCCCCCGGTCTTACCTGAGCAGACTGGGTCTGAGAAATAGACACACATGACGTAGTAGCCTATTGTGCTAGGTGTTTTGGAAAGAATAAGTTATATTTCATCATATCACGGGTATAA